CCAATGAATAGATTGTAGAAGAATCATAAGAAATAACATTAAGATGATCTCAAAGGGAAAGGAGATCTACTATTCCAGATGACTATGTGATATATCTGCAATAATCTGATTTTGATATATAGTGAAATATATACGAATCCGATTACATATTCACAAGCCATGAACAGTAATTGATGGCCTAAGGATTTTATCTAAAGGTCAATCTTATGTTTTAATGATTACAAACCATTAATGATGTTTAAGAACTAATATTTTCATTGAGTGATGTATAGATGATTAATATCCAATCCTCAATGATAAGCTAAAAGATCAATTCAAGCATTTCAAGTACTCAAGCTATGGATTTAAAGAAGCTTCAAAGTTGCAAGAAATCAAAGAAAATCTCGGGCTTCAAATATCACTCAAGTATTTCAAAGGAAGAAAGCAAGTCTTCATCAAGCCTAATCAATTATGTTTAAGAAATGAAGAAAATGGTAGATAGGATGGTGAAAGCTTTAGACTTAATGTTAAAGTTTATTTGAATATATTTTGAAGCTCAAGATTTTAGGTTCATGCATACTCATTCTAAATTCAGTTTTTAAAATACCTAAAATCTATTCCTGAACCTTATATATGCAAGCTACATATCAATAGGAAGTGCATATGACTTAGTTAATTCTATTTTTAGTCTTGCACAGTATTGGAGCCGGCTCCACTCAAGGTAGAGCCTGCTCTCTTCACTCCAGTAGCTTAAATTGGCTTGTAGAACAATTTTTTCTTGGAAAGAGCCGCCTCCCAAATATTGGAGCCTGCTCTACTAATATTGGAGCCTCCTCTACTCAATATTGGAGCCTCATCTACTCAATATTGGAGCCTTCTCCACTTTTACAAAGAACCAGCTCCTTTGAGAGATTTGAAATTCTAACGGCAATTTCTGCATTTAATTCCTCCAACCACTTCTAACAGACATATTGAGTTACGGATTTCTTTAAATACAGAGGGCTTCTCTGCTGAACCAAAAACACCACTTAAAAGAACATTCAACAAGAGCATTCAAGAGCATTCAATAGCCATAAATTCTTTCTCTGAGCTTTCATTCATCTATCTCTACATTCTCTCATCCTAGAACTTGAGCTTTATTAATATTCTTATTAACTCTAGTTGTGAGCTTACATTTATTCATCTATTGAGAGAGATTCAATCTTGTATTTCATTTACAAACTTTGCTACAATCTTGTAAGGGTTGGTGTGACCCAAAAGAAGCCTAGGAGAAGGGTGTTCTCCTAGTAAGGAAGAAGAAGCAAGGTTTTGCTTCAAATTGAAGGTTTGCTCTCCACCATTAAGGAGAAGCTCTAATGAATTTGGGAAGTCTCAAGGGGGACCTTGAGCCGAGGAGTAGGAGTTTCCGAACCTCGCTAAATTACCGAGTCATAGTTTGCAATCTCTCATCTCTATCTCTCTTATACTTGTGTCATATACTACTTGAATGTTTCAATTCCTCTATTCTTAACAGTTCATTAGATTTAATATTTTATAAATTGCAAAAATTGGCCATTGACTCTATTCACACCCCTCCCCCCCCCCCCCCCCCCCCCTCTAGAGTCATTTAGTGACTAACAAGTAATGATTTTACTAAATGGATTAGTGTCATGAATGAAGAGATTATAAAGAAACCTTCTATCCAAAATCTAAGAAGGAATCTTTTAAAATATCATGACAGTAGTAGCTTATTATGATTTAGAGTTAAATCAAATGGATGTGAATACAACTTTTATGAATGGGAGTTTATAAGAAGAAGTTCGTTTGGAACAATCTGAAAGCTTCACATTAAAGGGTAAAGAATTCATGGTCTGTAAACTTAAGATGCCAATATATGGATTTAAACAAACTTCCGAACAATGGTATATTAAGTTTAATGATACCATTATTTCTTTTGGTTTTAAGAAAAATACTGTTGATCAGTGTATACACTAAAAGGTTAGTGAGAGTAAGTTTATATTTATAATTCTATATATTGATGATATTTTATTTGTTAATAGTGATCTTAGTTTATTATATGAAACTAAAAGTTATCTCAAATAACTTTAAAATGAAAGATATGAATGAGGCATCCTACGTGATAAGAATAGAAATATTTCATCATAGATCACGTGGATTTTTAGGATTGTCTCAGAAAACTTATATTGAAAGAGTTCTATAAAGATTTGATATGGAACATTATTCAACTAATATTGTTCTATAAATTAAAGGGGATAAATCCAGCCTAATGCAATTCCAAAGAATAAGTTAGTTAGAAGGTAAAGAAACGAAAAATATTCCTTATGGATATATTGTGAAATTTAATGTATATACAAGTTGGTATGTGATAAAAGATTATATGTTCACATTTAGAAAGACATTTTTTAATTAGTTATTTGTTCCTTTTGGCTGGAGGAATAATATTATGAAAAAATGTAAAGTAATTTATTATTACTTTGTCTATTACGAATTTTTAATTTGTAACTTGCTTTGAGACTATAATTTATAGTTGAATAATTTATTTCAGGATATTAAGTCATGGGTAACATTTTTTCGGATTGCTGAAAATTTATACTGCAATTATTGATCTTTTTGTATTAAAATGATAGGTATTATAAAGTTAAAATACTTTATCATTAAAGAAGATATTTAGAAACAACGAATATCTATTGAACATATAAACAAACAACTTATGATTGCTATACATTAACGAATGGATTACTACCCAAGACATTTATGAAACATATTGAAAGAATGGATCTTGAATGTAGTCAATGATGGTTATTATTTTAAATTATGGATTGTTTAATAATGCTTATATATATTTGACATTTTGCGCTCATTAAATATGTTTATGATATTTCTTATTAATTAATGTACATGTACATATTGCTTTAATAGGTGGTAATAGGAACAGTCTTTGAAAAGACATTACTGTTAGATCATTACTAATACTTCTCATTTATAGACTATGTTGAATAGGTTACTAGTGTTGTGGTACATGGAAAAGACTGTGTCATTTAGGGACATATAACCGTCATGACTCGCATTGGTAATTTATTTACCATGGTATTTATGATGACCAATTTAATGAGTCAATCTAATTTATGGTGCACACTAATGACTATTTTACTGAACCACTACAGAAGTTATCATATGAGCCAAGTGGGAGACTATAAGATATTTTCTTATATTTGTGACCCACATGATTTGGATACGTGATTTACTTCTATTATTTGGTGGTTAAATAAAATAGATATCAGATTAATATTATATTATTTGGTAAACTTATAAATTACATTTATGGTAATTAATTATTAGAGAAGTATTTTCCTATTTATTTCTTACTTTGATGCAAAGTGGAATTAAGATTACTAAAAAGGAAAACTGGTCCTCTCTCTGCTTTTATAAAAGTGCATAAATCCCATCAATTATGTACGCTAATGAAAACAACACGTATAATATTTATGTGTGCAAAAGGTCAAGAGAGAGAAATTGGTTTCCACGCTTTAACTATTACAGTTTAGCATGTTGTTCGTTCCGCAGAAAGGATTTTGACGTTTGCCTTCTCTTCGAGTTTTACAATTACAGATCGAGGTATTTATATCTAACAAGTATTTATTTATACATTATAGATATGTAAAAATTATGAAGTTTTAAGATATGGGATTCATGTAAATTTATGATTAATGGGTTTAACGAATTATTAAAGTTTACACTAACTTCTAACTTCTAGCTTCTAACTTCTATATGATATGTCTTAAAATGGTAATTTTTTTTTTTCTAAAGAGTAATTCATAAATTAAATCCTATAAAAATAAAAAAATAAAAGAATTCAAAAGGATTTCATTAGCTATTATAAAATACAAAAGGCTATTATGATATATATTGAATACGAAAAATGCTTTCTATTCAAATGAAAAATAAAAAACCATCTTATATAACTTTTACTCAATATTCTTATCGCATATTTTTAATGATTTTATCACTCAATGGGATAGTAAATGAATTGTCATATATATTATGCACATTTAGTTTTACTTATAAATATATTATTTAACTATTTATTTGAAAATAAATGTATTATTGTGTGATTGTGATATATATATTGAATACAATAAAATGCTATATGATTTGTGATATATATTGAATACAAAAAAAATGCTTTCTAATTCAGTTCCTTTTAAAATCACGAAAAGTGTTTTAATACGTACAAATTGAATATTTGAATGAAAATATCTCAATTTAGGTTCCTTTTAAGTCACTAGATCATTTTATTGTATAAAAATTGAATCTTTGAGAGAAAATGAGAGTTTTGATTTAAATTTATTTGAGTTCCCTTTGAAGTCACGAAGAGTGTTTTAATGAGTTAAGATTAAATATTTAAAAGTAACAATTTAACAAAGAATGTTTTAATGAGTAAAGATTGAATCTTTGAAACTAAATGAGAGTTTTGAGTTAAACTTATTCGAGTTATTTTTGGAATAACAAAGAGTGTTTTAACATGTAAATATTGAATCTTTGAATGAAAAATATCTCAAAAAATGTACCTTTTAAGTCACGAGACATTATTTGATTATTTTTTCAAATTTAACGGAATTATATATCCAAAATAAAATACATTAAGGTATTTAATATAAGGTAGTAGTGGGTAACTGTTTATAAGATCACTATTTTATAAGGTACCAATGGACCAGTGCCCCAGTAGTATCAACCTCTTACTTCCCAAAGAAAGGTTAGGGATTTAAGTCTCTGTAGAAACATATGTGTAAGTACCAACTAGGAAAAAATATATACATATAGAGAGATAGAAAAAAGTATTTATTTTATTTTATAAAAAAATATTAAATTTCTTTATTATATATTAAAATTATTTATTAAATATTTAATAGTATTTATTCAATAAATAATTTAGTTTACGGGTTAAAAATAAAATCTAATCGCATTAAACGCCAAGTATAAATAGGGTCGAAGCGCCTCCCTCTGTCATTCGTCCATACAGGGTCTCCAAAATTCCGAATCCTGTATAGCCGACGGCACGCTTTTCTGATTCCAATTCCAATTTTGTAAGGTTGTCTATCTCCCTCTCTCTATCTACACACAAACACACATACATATGGTGTATATATCCTTTATTATTCGATTCAATTAAATTCTAAGAAATTAAATTTCTCCTCAAGGAAGAGAAGAATGTTTAGCAAGATCGTAGAAGAGAAGGCTCTGTACATGGTTGTTGATGGTGGTAACATCTACATAGATGGTAAAAAGATAAATTGTCGTTACGCTTTTTACCGCATAGATCTGGATGCCAAGTCGCTAAGTTATCGGAGCAGCTCAACTGATCAAGATTATTCTCTGCTGAATGAGCCGGTGCTCCTTTTGGGAGTTGAATTTCCCCGTGGTATGGTTTTTTTCTCTTTCGGATCCAAGATTTATATGTTAGGTTCCAGGGATTTGGTAAGAAGGTCTTGTAGTGTGTTTGTATATGATACTGTTTCTGGTGAATTGGGAGCTGCAAATCAACATTTGCGAACTCCAAAGAACGCACCCATCGTCATTCAGCCCGTGAAGCCCTTTGATGACAGGGTTTTTGTTCTGAGTGAAGATTTGTGTGGTCATGATTTAGAGGTTTTCTACCCTGGTGATGAAGACTCATCTTGGACATTTATTGGTGCTCCTTCCTGCTTCATTTTACAACAGTATTGTCGTGTTGTATCTCATGCAACTGCGTTGGACGGTTTTCTTCTCTTAATGAAAACCAATGTCGTATTTTACTATAACATGCATAAGAATATCTGGAGGATCGTGATTCCCCAATCACCCAATTTCTTATTCCTACAACCTCGTGTGTTTGCTCATGACATGGCTATGTGGTTTCACTTTTGCAATGATTCTTTCCTGTGCGGTTATCATGTTGACTCCAACATTGGGAAATTGCCACTCCTGTACCTCGATGATGCTCCTGCCTCTGTTCGTTCTCACCGGAAGAATAATCTCCTTTATTTGGGTGACTCCATGTTTTGCCTGGTGCGGTCAGGCTTTGATAGGTTTGTTGATCCGGGGCCTCCTAATTGGAGGAGTACCTCTGATCGCTTACCCTGCCATCATGCAGTGGCAACCCTGTTTCAAGTGGATCCCTTTGCCAACGCCATCTTAGAGCAGCGTTCTTATCAGATTTTGAAAGTCCAAGACGTATTTTATTCTATGGCCAATGTTTGCGCTTGCTTTGTCATATAATGTAAGTTCGTTTACTTCTTCTATTCTATCCTCTGTCATGTATGTATGTTGTCCTCAACTTTACGTGCTTCTGCAAGATTATATATGACACCCCTTAATACAATTCTATTGGCCACTTCCATGCATGTCTCAATCTACTGTTGTATGTATGATTGAGAGGTGGCTGATGCGGTTATTTACCTCAATGCTACCGTTTTCTGTTAAACCAACACTAGATATGAAACATTCTTTTTGCATGCTTGAGAATATTTCCTTAGCATGTCTCAATCTACTGTTGTATGTATGATTGAGAGGTGGCTGATGCAGTTATTTACCTTTTTCTGTTATAAACCAACACTAGATATGAAACATTCTCCATAGTCACCCGATCTCAAAAGTTTTTGTATCTTCTGCTTCTGTTCTGATATCACAATCTGATTCGAAATTTTTTTTGTTTCATTTGTTGTATTCTCTAATTCTCTTCTAATATTACAATCTGATTTGATTTATCCATGGATTAGAGGTGTAGATGAACTCAGATCCTCTTTCTGAAGGTACAATCTCCATAGAGTTAAATTATGTCAATTTAGCATTCTCGGAACTCATATTAGATCTGTATCCTGAAATTTTATATGAATTTAATTTCAGATTTCGTTTGATATGTGTTCTTTCTTTATGCATGCCTTCTTTTTCAATTGTTTTGATGGCCTTGAACGAATGAAATTACTCATGCATTTTGTGTTAAAATGCAACAAATGACATATCTGGATTAAAATCTCCAATGGCATAACCAAAAGTACGCTTAGTTTCGCACAAGGATTCCCAATACTTACCACTGATTTTGTTGAGCCCCTATAGTTCTCGCTCGCGCTCAATCCAGCATAAGGCAATTATTTAAAAGTTATGAGTTACTACTGTGATTAAATTCTAAATTTGTTTTATTATACTATGAAGCTACACATATGAATATTGTGGAATCATTAGCTTTGTCAATCTGGGGAGGAATGCATGCAATTATTTAAAAGTTATGAGTTAGCACTGCGTGAGCATACTGTCTTTTTTTGTAATTGTCTTGCAGTGTTGATCTTTCTCGAATATTCCAATTATTACATTTAGAAAAGGAAAAGCTACTAACTTTCTGTTTTCTCCACGCATGCTAGTTGAATATTTACAAAATAACTTTTTGGTGGATTGTATGTACATCTTCTTCTTGGACCGGCAGGTTGGTCTTTTATTAAAAAAATCGAAAATCTTTCTCACATTTCCTAATTTGTTTTGGTAATTGTTCATTGTAGTTGAAACTTCTATAATAAACCACTCTTCATTTGGAACAATACTGGTGAAACTAAATTGTTGTATGTTTTATAACTGTGCTAGAAATTAGACTAAAGTTGTGCTAGTGTAGAGTATGAGTTTGTTTGCGGCTATGGATATAGTTGTCTATCATGTAATCATTCTAATTTCTTGGGGATTGAAATTGTTCAATTAAGTTCAGAATAGATATGAAATTGTTCAATTAAGTTCAGTTATTCCCTTTTACATATATTACATTTTTTGGCTGAATTATTTTCCTCAAATTGTGCTTGATTAATTGTCACTTAAATTCGATATTGCAGCTTGATATGCCAGTTGTTTTTTAAGGCCTGATATTGACTTTTGATTCTAATGTCCTTTTGGTATATTTTATTTTATTTAAGAATAGGTTGAAGAATGGGCACATTATTACAAGAATAGGCCCTTGAGGGCCACTTGCTGAGATGGCATTACTTCATCAAGTTATGAAAGATTACTGTAATGGTGAGCGTAGCAACGGTTGACTTGAGAAACGAAAATTTAATGATGTATTAATGTTTGATGAACTCGTATTTGCTAGGCTTTACCCTTGAGTAATGATCCTGAACCGCTATGTCTGTTGGATGACTCATATTTGGTATGGATGAAAGCTCATGAAATGACTAATTTTGTATATATCAAAGTTAGGGAGCATGGTATATATAATTTTGTACAGAATCAAAAATAGGACAATTGGTTAACAACGTAGCTGTCATTTATCCTTCTTGGGATAAAGAAGAGGGATGGAGAGCAGATAAGAAGGAAGTAAGAATAAACTTCCTTCATTTGGCAGTGGTAGAGACGAGACGAGACGATGAGAGGATAATAAGATGGATGAGTCATCCTTCCTCAACAAATTTTCATCTTTCCAAACACAGACCGTAAATAGGAGGGAAGATAATTGGGACTGTTATGGAAGTTTAAATTGCAACACATTGGGCTACTATGAAAGTTTAAATTGCAATACATTCCTTCACAAATATTAGTTCAAATGTGTTTGTAAAAACAATTAAAAATTCTCTCCCCTTTTTTCAGTCAAATTTCTTCTCATTCTATGTTATTCCATTCCATCCCATCCAACTGAATAGGAGGGTCTATCCCTTTCATCCAATTTTTTTCCTTTTTACCAAAGGAATTGTTAGTGTCAAAATTTTCACTTTGTTTGGGATAGGTGGGAGGGAATGTAAAGCAAATGATGGTATCTCCTTTCCTTTTCTTCCAACATTCAGTCCATTCTCACATTTACTATGAACATGAATTTTGGTTCAGAATTTTCTCCTTTTATAACTGCTTTATTGAGAATCAAACAAATGGATGGTTAATATGGACCGCCAACTTTAGTATTGATACTACTCACTCCGTTTCAAATTAAATGTCTTCAATGGTAATTGTGAATGAGGATACCTAATTTGGGTGGTCCTATACATTATTATATATGTATATTGTGTACGGATAGGCAGATTAAAGATCCTCTTTTATTAGGGACATACATATGCTACCGACCATGAGCCAATGTCAACCCTCCTGATATATAGGGTTTGTGCAAAACTAATCCCTACTTTTTGAAAATGTGCATGTTAATCCATAAAATTCAAAACAGGTGCAAATAAGCCCCTGTGACCACTTTTTAACAAAAATTAAATATGAAAATCCTATTTTACCCTTTTGATACCCATTTTACCCCTCACCATATGTGCATATTAACCCCCTTAGGCCTATACCCATTTCCTCCTCCCTCTCTCTCTCTCTCTCTCTCTCACTCTAGGGTTATGAGATATATATATATATATATATATATATATATAATGTCTTTTTGTGTGAATATATATAAAGTATATATAATTGTCAACTATTAAGATTAAGAAGATAGTTTATTGAGAGAATCCTTAAAAAAAAAACAAATATTTCAATTTGACTAGAACTCTTTGAAAATAAGAAAAGTTCATATAAAAAATATATATATTTAACCGTCAACTAACTATTAAGAGTGTATATATATATATATATATATATATATATATATAAGAGTTATACTAGTTTACTTTTAAAAAATAAATAAAAATAAAAAAACCTTTAACGATACAATTTTTTGGAAATAAATTTATATATAAAAAATAAAATAAAAAGGTATTAACTCTCTCTTTTAATATATATATATATATATATATATATATATATATATATATATATATATAATGTCATTTGCTCTTTTGAATAGAGACGGCATTGATCCTCGGGATGTGGGTGATGTTGACGGAGCTGAAGTTTCTAGTTGCACGGCTTGTGGTTTGCTAGAGTGTGGTGACGAGTTCTCCGGTGGCCGGAATCCGAGAGAGGAACTCTTATGTTCTTCCACAATCGCTTCTTTCTCTTGACTCTCTCCCCTTGTGTATTTTTAGGAATGTGATTTTAGTGTTGCAAATATAAATTTGCAGAGGATGCAATTAGTGATCTTAAAAGTGAACCCACTGGTTTGATCAGTGGAATGGTGTATTTGTCTTCATTGCTATAGTTTCACAGGGAGAGAAAAAATATAGCTAATATAGCTTTTTGGAATCGAAAGCTCATGGAGATGAAGAACAACAAAAAATTCCAATAGAGTAATATAATTTTAGAAAAAGAAAGTGATAGAATTCTAGAGAGAGAATCAGTTAGAACCAGATCGAGATCAAGAAATCGAAAACTCAATTTGAGGTGAAGACCTCATCCCTGCGGCCATTGATGTTGCTAGTACCGTTTATACCCACCAACACCACCACCTCCTTCACTACACTAGAAGAAAAAGCAGAGTGTATATATATATATATATATATATATATATATACTCCCTCCATCCCATTTTAAACGTCTGGCTTCGTGAGTCACAATTCCCGAAGCCAGACGTTTAAAATGGGACGGAGGGAGTATATATATAACACCCAAAAAAACTATAAAACATACATTATTCGTCGAGCAAGTATGCTTTGTATAGTTAGGGAATGTTTGGTTTTAGTTTTAATTATATTCAGGTTTAGGTTATCCCTATTTTATACAATTTGAGGTTTATTTTCTCCTTCTGCCAAACAAACACAATTTTACACAAATTTGGACAAAAGGGTCATTTTACATGGCCGGTGTTTATAATCATTAATTTATTCAACTGAAGTAAGAGTATTATCGTCATTTTACACCACACACGGACCTATTTGCACCAAATTGATAGTATATGGGAGTTTTTTTATCACACAGGGACCGATATGCACTATATCAATAGTAGAGGGGTTTTTTGCACTTAACCCAATCTTTAATACATCAAATTTTTTGGCAAGTAAGAGAATTACCCTTAGACTGTATCACAAAGAAAAAGCGGGGATTAAAATTGCTAATGAATTTTTATGTTTTGCGATGAGCGCTGAAAAGTGAGCATTTAAACCCCTTAAGCTTGAGCATTCTAAAACCTTTATCTATCTTATTTTCCCGTCTTAAACTAATTTCATGTTATTGCCCTTTTCAGGTGCTTATCTAAAAAATAAGTTAATTCAGCTAAATAAGAGCATTAAAGAAGCTAACTCAAGCTGAATGGAAGAAAGGAGTAAAGTGGAAGCAAAATGAAGCAAAGTATGGAAAGTCAGCATCCTCGATCAATCTCAATATTCCTTCGATCGATCAGGGCAAGATCGATCTAGGCCTCATCAAGATGGATCCAAGCCTTTGTTCTTATCCAAAAGATTCCACCACCTTCGATCGATCCAACCTTCCTTAGATCGATCGAAATTATTCGATCTTATTCACACCTACCACCCCACCTACCACTTTTGTCTCTTTCCCAAAATATTCCAAAATATCTCAGAGATTTGTCTTTATTCAAAAAGGCACCACCAAGGATGATCGATCTCTGCAGCATTCGATGGATTTCACCTAAGTTCGATCGATCGAACCCTCTCAAGTGGGAAATAAAACAGAGTCCATCTCATTAAAAGATGGTTCATGGTGCAATCATTGTAAGGGCCCTAGTGCATGAGTCCAGACCATTAGGTGTGACACTTGAGCTGCCTATATAAGGATTTAGAGCCATTTTAAGAACATACACACTTACATAGATATCATTCATCTCATATCACATATCTTGGAGAGGAGGCTAGAGACTAGAGAGCTTTATACATCTTTGGGAGTTCTTCCATTCATCTAGGGTTTCCATTAAGAAGGAAGTCATCCCTACCATGGTGATAGCCCTTGAGGGTTGGATGACTACTTCAATGAGTGGCTAGACATCTACTTGGGGCTAAAGTAGCCCCTAAGTTTGCTTCCTAAACCTAGTGATTTGTATAGTTTTAGGGATTTATTTGTAATAAATGTTTTGATCTTGGATTTATATATATATCTTATGGTTTCTACTTAATGTGTATGGATTAATGCTTTCAATTGATTATCTATTTCTAACCATATGCTTATGTATGCTAGAATGGATGATTCACGTGCTTTTCTTTAGATTTAGTGGAGTTTATGCATGTCTATGTGTATGGATGAAGTTAATCTAGTGATGATCAAAACGTGATGCTTAATTGAACACTTTTGTAATTTATTTGATGGTACACACTTGTTTCTTGATGGATTATGCCACACCTTTAGTTTACTTAGTTTAATTTCCATGTCTTTAGTGTAGATGTAGTGCAATTACTTTAGATTCGTAGATCAGTGGACAATCTATTCTTGTTCCTTGGAGTTCCATCTTATGATGAATGCAAAGTGTGTATGTTTTTAAATAGTTGTGTGTGCATAAATTGTGGTTTCATTGAATGAATTTTGGTCTCATTTGATAGGTTGTGCTTTCCATTTGAATTGGCTAGACAATCTATATTTATTTGCCATCCATGCCTAATTTCAATTAATGTCATACACACACACAAGTTATAATTCAATTTCCCCATTGTTATACAATTGTTAATGTCTAGTGAAGTCAAGCTTAATGGTGAGCTTTAGTATCCCAAGTCCTCTCCTCTATATCTTTTTCTCTATCATCTAAAATTATTGTATTTTGCTTGCTTTAATTTCATTTGCATTGTAGTTTAATCAACCAAACAAACCATCTTTTGATCACTTGACCTACTAATCCAACTTTGTTTCCATTCCAAACACGCCCACAATCCCTTGGGACGATCACTACTCACCCTAGCTATATTTTTAGTTAGAGGTAATAGTGATTTTTATAAATTTAAAATTTGGCCACATTGCACATTCACTTTCTTAGCACATTTTTAAGTGTTGGTGCTGTGGCAACCACAGTTTTTTGCGCCGTTGCCGAGGATTGATTTGGCAACGCCGTATTTTGGAAACAAATAGGAATTAGTACTCTTTTGATCGCATTTTTACTTAATTTTTACTTTTGTTACTTATTGTATTTGTTCTTGATTGGCTAGGTGCATCGAGCTAAGGGAGTCAAGCAAAGGGAATTAACGAGCAAGGAAACAAAGGATGCCAAGTGAAGCTAAGCAAAAGCATAAAAGGCTAAAATCTAAAAATTTGCAAAGCATAACAAAGCTTGAATATGGAAAGTTAAATTGAAGTTGCTTAAGGACCCTTTGTGAGATCCTTATAACGCAATCTCTAGTTAAATCGTCGGCT